CTCCGTAACTGCTCGGGCCTACATACGCACCGGCAATGGACCACGTCGTTCGGCGGCCCCATGCTGTGCGAACCGGACCGGACAATCAACACACCCACACCCCAACACAACGCAATAGCACCCACACACTGGCGCCGGCAACTCCTAGTCCCTCTGACAATCTGCTCTGTTTGTCAGTCCAGAATATACAGTAACGTGACATCAGTCAAGTGCAACTCATGCCTCGGCAGGTGCCGCTTTAGGGAGTGCTCAGGACTTCGCAACACGCGAGATTGGACGAGTGACTATGTGGGCCCCTGCTGTGCTGCCCCGTCGCATCCCTCCCCCGCGACGCCGCCAACCACCACCACAAGGCAGCACCCCCTTTTGCGGTCTCCCAAAGCACACAAAGGTGCTACAATTCAACTGTAACGGACTCCAGAGCAAGATCGTGGAGATAACTATCTTTATGGGAAGGCATGGAATATTAATAGCAGCGGTCCAAGAGACGAAGTTGCATGGCAATTCAACCCTGTTGAATTGCGCCGGATACAACGTGCACCGTCGAGATCGCGAGCGAGATAATGGTGGAGGCTTAGCGTTCATCACGCACCACACCGTGCAGTATCGTCTTATTGAAGCAGACATCGACCGCAGGGATACCATTCTAGAATGTCAGGGTATTGCTATGCGGTCAGGCGATGTTGAGCTCGAAATATTTAACGTATACATACCCCCTGGCACCAGCTGCCCGGCAGGATATCACCCTGAAATAGGTGCGCTACTCAGAGGTGAAAACCGTATAGTAGTTGGTGACTTTACCGCGCACCACGATCTTTGGCACTCAAGCCTGTCAAATGATCGTAGGGGAATACATCTGGCTGAGCAGATAGACGATTCGACATTATGCACAATGAACGACGACGCACCCACCAGGATTATGGGCAGCTGCTGCAGCTCGCCAGATCTAACAATTGTCAGCGCTGGTCTGATAAACAGCGTATCATGGCGACCTATGCCCATAGTCATCTCGATTGATAAACCTGCTAACTTTGCTTCCGTGGATCACCGGACTTATGTCAACTTTTCCTAAGCAGACTGGAAAGGCTTCACGGATATTACTGAGGGCGCCTTCACTGCACTACCCATACCAACCGACGTTCATGTATGTAAGCTTGCTTCATCCCAGCAGGATGTATTAAGGATCCACGTCCGAACTTTCCTGCCGAAGCGGCTGTTCTAGCTGATGAGCGCGACAACCTTCGTCAGGCCGATCCCGGAAATCCCCGATCTTAATTCGGAGATTCGGCAACTTGTGAACGTACATAAGCGGAAGAAATGGGAAGAGCATTTGAAGACCTGCAACTTCGCCTTTGGTGTGAGCAAGCTTTGGTCAACCGTGAGGTCGTGATGACAGAGTCGAGATAGACTTTGGTGACCACGCTTCGTCGGACCCGGAGAGATGCGCGAGCTATTTTAGCCGGCAGTTCATTCTGCATCCTCCGGTAGATAAAGCCAAACGTCGAGTGACCAGAAGGCTGCACAAAATGCCAAAACCCAGTGCGCCTCTTGTTTTCACCAACGGTGAAAGCCATTGGACCCGACAGAATATACATGTTGATGCTGAAAAATTTGGGTCCTGCGGGAGTAGCGTACCTAACAGAGGTCCTCAACCTGTCTATGGCCACTCTCGTCATTCCAGACATCTGGAAGATGGGGAGAGTGGTCCCACTGCTCAAACCGGGGAAACCAGCCAGCAGAGGAGAGTCTTATCGCCCGATAACTCTCCTTTCCCCGGTAGCGAAGACACTCGAGGCCCTGCTGCTCTCGTACTTTACGAACCACCAGACCCCAGCGAACCAACATGGGTTCCGTAAAGTGCATAGCATAACAACAGCACTTAACGCCATAAACACTCCGATAACTCGTGGCCTAAACCGAAACCGCCCCTGTGAGAGAACTATTCTAGTAGCGTTGGACCTGTCCAAGGCGTTCGACACTGTCAGCCATTCAACGCTGCTAGAAGATATAGAGGCCTCCTCACTCCCACAGGGACGCAAACGGTGGTCGGCGAATTACCTGAGTGGTCGACACTCGTCAGTAATTTTCAGAGACAAAACTAGCAAGCCACGTAAAATTAGACAGGGGGTACCACAGGGTGGTGTCCTGTCCCCGCTACTGTTTAATTATTACATCTCAAAGCTTCCTCAGCCACCAGAGGGTGTTAATATAGTCTCCTATGCTGACGATTGTTCGATCATGGCGTCTGAGAATGGAATTGATGACTTGTGCTCGAAAGTAAACGGTTACCTCGCCGAACTTTCTCGCTTATTCACTGCAAGGAGCCTTGCCCTATCCCCTGCGAAATCCTCGGCAACCCTTTTCACCACCTGGACGAAGGAGGTCAGACTGCAACTGGGTATTCACGTCGATGGCGTAAAAATACCGACGGTGAATAACCCGAAAATCCTCGGAGTTACCCTCGACAGTCTGCTCTCCTTCTCGGCGCATATAACCGCAATTGTCAACAAAGTACAGAGCCGCAACAATGTCCTCAAGTCGCTGGCCGGCAGCACTTGGGGCAAAGAAAAAGAAACGTTGTTGGCAACATACAAGGCATTTGGCCGGCCGGTTCTAAACTACGCAGCGCCCGTATGGTCGCCGGGGACTAGCAGGACGCAGTGGGTGAAGCTACAGACCTGCCAAAACACGGCATTACGAACTGCGACAGGATGCCTCCTGATGACGCCTCAACACCACCTTCACGACGAGGCCCAGATGCTCCCAGTAAAGGAGCATAACATAATGCTCTGCAAACAGTTCCTTACTGGGAGCCACAGACGTGGCCATCTCAGCGGACAACTGTTCGCGGAATAGCTCCCGCCACGGCACGTCAGGAGGCATCTTTACGAACTGACGGACAAAGTCCAGAGGTATATCAAACAACCTCTGGACCCGTCAACCTATCGACAGGCCCTGAACGGCATTCACAGGGAATCAGTCTCAAGTTTGTAGACTCCCTCCCTGAGAATGCAGTTCTAGGCGCACAACCACCGGACGTGGACGGGACAGAGCTTTGTCTGCCTCGGGAGACCCGCACTACAATAGCCCAACTTCGCTCTGGCTATTGCAGAAGGCTCAACAGCTACCTGAGCAGAATCAACGAGGATGTGCCCAACCAATGCCCGGCATGTGGAGAGTCGCCACATGACTCCCGGCACCTCTTCACATGCCCTGAGAATCCCACTCAGCTAACGCCCCTGTCCTATGGACAGCCCCTGTGAAAGTAGCACACTTCCCCCTAGCTGAAACTGACGACAACGTTGATGGATGAACCGCCCCGAACGGGGCTTAGTAGCCGCTACAACAAAAACAACAGCAGAGACCCGCGCCCGCCAAATGGCGGAGAAGCAGGGAACCCACAGGTACCATAACAGGCTCATCAGCAGCTACACCAAAACGCACCAGCCTATAGGTCACACCACCTCAGCCACCGTCCCCAAACATCAATCATAACAACAATAAGGTAATTTGGGACCTCTCCTGCGAGAGGCCCAGAGCGTGCGTAGTGCTGAAGAATAATATTAATTATTTTTGTATTACTGAATTTCTTACACGATCTGCTAGCGGTCCAAGCTACCTTAAGGGTTAACGGGGAGGAATTGGAGGTGGTCTTGGCTGCAGCCTTCTTTCCGGGGGACAACGCCAACGTACCGCCTCTTGAGGTAAAGCAGCTGCTGCAATTTTGCCGCAGGAAACGACTTCCGGCGATTCTCGGCTGCGATGCGAACGCCCACAATATAGAGTGGGGCAGCTCGGACACAAACCATAGGGGTGAGTGCCTATTAGAATATATAATCAGTGAAGACCTGTGCATCCATAATATCGGTAATGAACCAACGTTCATAACTAGGGTCAGAGAGGAGGTACTTGACATCACACTCAGCAACAGACTGGCCAGTCCTCTGATCGTTCAGTGCCGGGTCTCATCTGAGCCCTCACTGTCGGATCACAGGATTATCCTATTTGCGCTGGGAGCTGAGGTTCTGACATGTCACCCAAAGAGAAATTCCAGGAAAACAGACTGGGGTAAATACGAAGAGGTACTTAGGTTGAACCTAACCAGTATAGAGGCACAACATAGAAAGGTGGATTGTATGAAGTTAGAGGACAGGGTCAACAAGCTGAACGGCACTATTCTGGATGCCTTTACCTCCAGCTGTCCCGTGTCAAAGCCAAAGGGGAAAGCTCAGCCTCCCTGGTGGACACCGGAACTCTCAGTTCTTAGAAAAGAGGTGCGGAGACTTTTCAACAGGGCAAAACGCACCGGGAACTGGGAGGAGTACTCAGTCAGTTTGACAAAATACAATAAGGAGATTAGGAAGGCCAAGCGTAGAAGCTCCAGGACCTTTTGTGAGAACATCACGTCTACTCCTGCAGCTGCTAGGCTGCATAAAGCCTTAGCGAGAGACAACACAGAGACCAGGCTGGCTATTAGGCTACCTAATGGGGCTTTTTTAGGTACTGAACACGAAAGGGCACTCGCCCTGCTGTCGGCCCACTTTCCGGACGCCATTCCCACCGCCGGGGATACGTTGTTCCGTGCGTTGAGGCCATCCCCACCGGACTGGAAGTTAGCTAAAAGTGCGGTGGGCTCTGGACTCCTTCGAACGGTACAAAGCCCCTGAGGTAGATGGTGTATAACCGGCGCTGCTGAAGCAGGGCGGGGAGCTCTTACTTTCACATCTTGCGGACATTATGAGGGACAGTCTAGCACTGGCTCACATTTCCAAGGTGTGGCAGAGGCCCAGGGTTATCTTTATCTTTCAACGTCTGGCATATGTTTGTATTACGGGAGCAATGCGCACATGCCCGACGGCAGCGCTGGGGCTAATGCTGGAACTCGAG